AGTATGAGAAGAAACGATAGTTTTGAAGCTAGCAAATACTGCTAAAACCAGATCAGTTCGCGGCAAGAACTGGGTACGTGCTACTTAGAAATAATCAATGCTAAAATGACTCCATAGACTGACTGCTGCATGTCGACTATCATTAATCTAAAGCTGATATGTTAAACCTGCATCACTCTTGATGATAATCACAAACATCAAATTACCTCCGCTCCACCTGAAGAACGTAGGCAAGTAGGTGTGTTAGCAGCCACATATATTTTGTGCTGAAAGGTAGTCATGGTTCCTTATGCTTGTGAAATAAAATGCATTTACTCATTGAATCAAAGAAAAAACGTTTTTTTTCCAAAATACAACAGTTCTTTCCACCATGACGGAAACCAGAGTCACAGCAGAAGCATATTTAAAAGAACAAAAATGTACAGTTTCAAAATCAATCGAATTGAAAGAGTTTACTGGTTAAGTGAGTGGAAGTAGCACGTAAAACTAGCACCGACTAACATTTAAGTAATCACTGACTCACCCGTATAACGTTATACGTGAGACGCACAGGAAAAAACACTATACAGAACAATTAGGAGAAGATTAAAGAATGAAGAGGTGGAAGCGAATCGATGAACAAAAATTTAATGCATATGAATATCTAAATGTACGAGTCGACTTAAGGGGATCGATTCAAGCAGTTTCCGCCTTTTTCTTTTCTCATTCCGTGGCTTCGTAGAACCGGCGGAATGTCACATTACATGCTTCAGTCCTCACATATATGAAAACAAATTTGAAAATCTTAAATACACCTTAACCTCTTTATCACGTGGTGCAGGGGATAAAGAACATGTGTTTGAGTAGGTTTATCTTACTTTGTAATAGATGTTGCAACGCCGTCTACTATGACACAATACATGATATTCGTGTAGAACAGCTGATCTGCTCCATCAACAATTCTGGGAAATGATCGAAATTTGAGAATGCCCACTTTTCGAGGAAAGAAAATGCATATCAGGTGAAGAATGCGTATTTAGAGAATTAGAGTATGAAGGTAGCAGTTTCATTCAAATAGTATTGCCCGAACTTAAGCCTGAAGAGTGAATTAGTCCGGATGAGAAAGGAGGAGG